GATGTGGCCCCTGAGAGGCTACTCATGCTCCAGTAGATGGTCTTATACCCATGTACATACTGGCAGCACTAAGCAGACTCAGTTGGCTAATAAAACAATCACATGGTTGAGAGGGAATATTGGTGGGAGACTTTAGGGAAAAAATCAAGAGGAAAGGAACAGGGTGGATTTGATGATTTAGTTTTTAAAAACCTAAAAAATAAATTTAAAAATAAATTTTAACAGAAACGATGCCTTGCTTCAATTGACAGTAACAGTAGAATTAATTAACACTATTCTCATCATTTTCATCAATCACTCTCATACTCATAGACCAGTCACTCAAAAAGGTTTAACAGTCTAGTATAAACCACATCCTCACACAAAGAACGTTGTAATTAGAATCTCCATGAATTAGAAAAAGTTCCAACTTAAAAAATAAAATATCCTCATTGTTCTAATTTGCCTTTCTGTGGTTATGATAAAATACTTTGACCAGTTAAAAAGGGTTTATTTGGTTTACACTTCCAGGTAATAGTCCATCATTGAGTTAAGTCAGGGCAGAAACTCTAGCAAGAACTCAAGCAGAAACCATGGAATAATGCTGCTTACTGGTTTGCTCATTTGCTTACACTCAGGTAGCTTTTTGTTACATAGCCCAGGGGAATGGTACCATGCACAGAGGGCTGGGCCCTCCTACATTAATTAGTAATCAAGATAATCCCCCATATGCAAGCCTACAGGCCAGTCTGATCAAGCCACTTCTTTAATGGATGTTCCATCTTCCTGGATGACTCTAGGTTGTGTGGATTTCACAATCGAAATTACCCTGGACACTCTATTCCTTATCAACTTGACACATGAACATACCAGTGTTAAATCATATTTCCTTTCTTATTTGTCTTCAAGATTTCATGCTAATATCATAATACAAAATACAGTACATTTTTAGGACTGGAGAGATGGCTCAGTCTTAAAGGCTAGGCTCACAACCAAAATACAATACAATTTTAAAAGTCCTCTCGTCTTTAAAAATTCCAATGCTTTAAAAGTTCAAGGACTCCATTTTAGGGATGCCCACAGAAACAGCTGGCCTGAGCAAGTGGGAGCTCAAGGACCTCAGACTGACAGCTGAGGAACCTGCATGAGACTGAACCAGGGCCCCTGAACGTGGGTGTCAGTTCTGCGCTTTGGGTAGTCTATGGGGCCTCTGGCAGTGGAACCAGTATTCATCCCTAGTGCATGAATGGCCTATGGGAGCCCATTCCCTATGGAGAGATACTCTCTCAGTCTAGATACAGGGGAGAGGACCTTGGTCCTGCCCCAAATGATGTGACAGACTTTGATGATCCCCCATGGGACGCCTCACCCACCCTGAGGAGTGGATGGGGGGTGGGACAGGGAGATGGTGGGGGGGATGGAAGGACGGGAGGGAGAGGGAACTGGCAATGGTATGTAAAATAAGACTGTTTTTTTTTTTTAAAAAAAGTTCAAGGTCTCTTTTCCGTGGGCTCTTAAAAAAACAAACAACAAAAAAAACTTATTCCAAAAAGGAAGAACAGAGCATCAGAGCAATCATACTTAAGACCAAAATCCACAGTGTAGTTCAAGGTCTGACATCTGGAACTCACTCATGATCTTCTGGGCTTCAAACGGCTTGGGAAACCCCACTAAGATCTGCTATCTGTAGAAGACACTCACCTTGTCTTGTATACTAATCCAGATTCCACGCTTTCTACAGCTTTTGGTGAACATCCCATACCCTGGAATCTCTAATATTCTGGGGTCTCTCCTGCATCTGAGGCTAACCCTCACCTCTGAGGCCTCTCAGAGCTTTTCTGTAGTAACTCCAAACCTTCCAGAAGGCACCAAGCCTTAGCTGCTCTCCAAGCCTTAGCTATTCTCCATGGCCCATTCATGACTTCAAAGCAGTACCATAAGATACTCTTACACCTTGACAAATTCAGCTGTCAGCTTCAGATGCCAACTTGGCTCCCCTGAATCACAGCTTTTGTGTTCTGATTGTGAGAAAATACTTGCCAGATTTCACTTCAATTACACTGATCTCTTATAAATCACGACTGAGTCTTCAGTCCCAGCTGGCTCACACCATTGTCTCAGTGAAACAGGTTTCACTTTAGTGAGACTGGCCTCTTGTTAATCACAACTGATTCTTTAGTACCCATCTGACCAGCAATCACAGATTCTTAATCCGAAATATCACACAAATGGCCTCAATAGTATTTGCTTCCTTCTGAAACCTCACAATCCAAGCCTCCACTGTCTGCATTGTTTCTCAATATTCTTATCTTCCAAGCCACCCCTAGAAAAGTCCATTAAGCTCTGAGTACTTAATGCTTTTTTTCAGTTTAAAATGCCCAAATCCTCCTCAATCCTCCAACAAAATAGTTCAAAGGCCATATGGTCAGGGTTATAATGGCTACAACACCACTGCTGGTGCCAATATATGTTCTAGTTTGCTTTTCTGTTGCTGTAATAAAACACTGACCAAAAACATCCTGTGGAAGAAAGGGTATATTCAGCTTACACTTCCAGGTCACAATCCACCATTGAGTAAAGTCGGGGCAGGACCTTAAACCAGCTGTGTGATGTTTTCATTTGTGAGCTAATTAAAGTGATTTTATTTGTTAAAATAAAAAGCTTATGATTGTTCAACAATGCTTACACAGCATGTACTCTACCAGTATCTTTTTGTTGGTGGTGATGTTGTTGTTTGTTGTATTTTTTGAGACAGGGTTTCTCTATGTAGTCCTGGCTGTCCTAGAAATCACTCTGTAGGCCAGGCTTGCCTCGAAGTCACAGACATCCTCCTGCCTCTGCCTCCCCAGTGCTGGGATTAAAGGTGAGCACGGCCACATCCCACTTGAGCAGTATCTTGTGTCCAGAGCTGTATTAGAATATTTCACACACATGCTTCTAACATCAGAACGTGTCTGGCGGGGTCCCTGGATCACAGGAAACACAGCTGCTTTCTCTACTCATCAAGCCATCTGATCTTCCACCATCTGCTCTTCCCTGCTTCTCTACCCAGTAGCAAGGCTGGCTAAATAACAGCAGAATAAGAACTAGAGATGTTCACATCCCAAGGCCAACTCAACAAGTTGTGGAGTCAACATCCAAAGTCACTCCAGTCCTTTCTCTCATTTCAGGACAAACTAGAGAAATTCATCTGGTACTTCATGGAATATAATCAATTTTTAGTGAAACTTGCTTTGAATGATTAAAAGCACTTGTGCCATAGGAAAAATAGACACCAACAGCCACTCCTTGTTTTTTCTCAGTCATTTGCAGTCAGAATATCAGCAGGGCTCTTTGAATGCAAAATGTAGCATCAGGAAAAAAAATGGGACGATCTACACAACTGAATCCTCTCTGAAAGTAGTTCTTTGTTGCCTTTCTTCCCCCAGGCTTTTGAACCTGAGGCTGTCATTTTAGAAGTGTCTAAGACATAAAATTCTACCAACACATTATGGAAGTCAGCAGGACAGCTAACATTTATTTGGGTCAAGCCAACCTCGACCCATCTCCAATCTTCTGGCAAATACAAAATCCCCAGTAAACCTTGATCAAATACAAATATTCCACAGTTCTTTGGTCAAAATGTTCATATATCCAGACACGTCATTATCCTAAACATCATTTCAAAACCTGAGACTAACCATGTGTTCTGATCCTTGAATAATGTCAAAATCACATCATTAAACTGAGAGGCACTCAGTTTTGCAATAGTGACCAATATATGAGCTTCTGTGAAATTCCCAGATTCTGGTGATTTGAAAGAATTCATGTAAGACACTGGGGCTTTCTGGGCAGAAAACAAGGGGACTTTTAGAGACCTGTAGCCATTCAGGAATGACAGATTAAATTCAAAGAGAGAATCTCTTCTGCCACTACTCAGACCCAGCTGCAAAGCAGAGTTTAGTGTGGGGAATTATAATCTTTGAACAAAGAAAAGTGACCAGGCATGATGGCACAGGTCTTGTCAACTCTTTGATCTGGAGGTAGGCACAGAAGGATTTCTAGTTCAAGGCCAGCATAAGATTTATAGAAAGATCCTATCTCAAAACCAAAACCCAAACAAAGGGAATAGGAGGGTATGGGAAGGAGAAGGGAAGGAACCCAGAAAAGAAGAAAATCAGGCTCATTAATGTGTCTCAGTGCAAATTAATTTCCTGTTTTCCTTATTGCAAAGGATGGGGCCCTGAGCCCCATCCCCAGCATGACATATACCAGGGATGGTGGGCATAAGCCTGTAATCCCAGCACTCAGGACACAGAGAAGGGAGATGGGAGGGTCAGAAGTTCAAAGCCATCCTTGAATACTTCGGGAGTCTGAGGCCATTTGAGGCCAGCCTGGGATACATGACACCATGTCTCAAAAAACAACCAATAAATAGATAAAGAAGCAATCAAACAAAAAATAAATACTGTGTTTACATGACTTTGCAGGCTACTGTGTTACTGAAAGCTGCTGTACTACTGAGAGCAGGGGAGGAAGCTAGTTAAAAACTATATACACAAAGCAGCGGGCAGACTTGTCTGACAAGTCCTTTAGTCGTTTTCCCCTTCTTTAGCACTTTATTGGGAAACACCTTTTCCCAAACACCTCCAGCCAAGAATGCTGCTTTCTACCTTGTATTACTTTACCACGATACAGCAAACTTACTGCTTTCTCTTATTCACATGAAAAAAATGGCCATCAGGGATTTAAAGGAATGTGTCTGAGTATGTGCCAGGCTCTTGCTTCACTCCTTGAATGATCTGAGTATTATTTGTGGGAAATGCTTATCAGGACATTGACAGTGTTTTGCAGCTTCTAGCTTCAGGCTGAAAATTACCAGCCAAATTCCTGCCTACCCGTCGCCACCTAGAGGGGAAAAGCAACCTTTACACCAGAGTGTACCCAGGGTTTCTGAGAACGTTATCTCCCAACCTTTCTAAAACCCCAAAGTGAAATTATTTGAATACAAGTCCCATGAAATAGGATATATTACCCAATACCTTATGTGGGAAACGTGTCAAAGAAGGAAATATCACAAAGGCCACGGTTCATGGGAGGTCTTCATGGTGAGCACTGCTGTGGCATCCTAAGGCGGGGACACTGTCAGAGAGAGACAGGTACAAAGTCAAAAGTGAATGAAGTAATTTACAAATAAGTAACCCAACTGTTTATCATGTTTATCATTCACCATGGACAGCTGGTGAGGTTTACACACCTGTACCCACACATTGCCACTCTTCCAGCTTTGTGCCTGCTCGACTACCAATTCCAGATATTAGTATGTAAAAATTACATACAGAGAGATTCTATAGGAGGTTTCTATAGCTTTGGTAAGTGTCCTAGTTAGCTTTGACTGTCAACTTGTTATAACCTACAGTTGTCTGAAGGGAAAGCATCAATTGAGGACTTACAAGATCATATTGACCTATGAGTATGTCTGTGGGGATTTGTCTTGATTAGTAATTAATGTAGGAGGACCCAACCCACTGAAAGCAGCAGCATCCCTAGGCAATAAGTCTTGGGTTATGTAAGAAAGCTAGCTAAACATAAGCTTGTGAATGAGCTAGCAAGTGACATTCCTTTATGGTTTCTGCTTCAGACTCCTGCCTTGGGATCCTGCCTTAACTTCTGTCATTAATAGATTGGGACCTGGAAGTAACTCAAATAAACCCTCTCCTCCCCTAAGTTGCTTTCTGTCGTAGTGTTTTATCACAGCAACAGAACGAAACCAGAGTGGTTAGCTATCCCATCTCTTTAGGGATTTCTGTTTTTCTTTTCCCCTGATAGAATCTGTGTAACCCTGGTTAGCCTACATTCACTATGCAGCCCAGGCTGGCTTTGAGCTCACCATTGTCTTGCCTCACCCTCTTAATTGTTGAATTACAGACCAGAGCCATCATGCCTGGCTCCTTTCTTTTTCCTCAAAGAACATTACCCTTTTTAAAAGAGTATTACTCTAGACTATTATAAGAATGAACACTTAGCATGAAAAGCTCTGTACAAATCTTTTTAAAATTGTTTCTTCAAAATATACTATGTCAAAGGTCAGGAATAATGGTATACAGCTACATTACCTATTGTCAAATTGGTCTCCTGGAACACCAAGCCAAAGAATCAGGCCATCAGCAGAATTTCCATGCCTGATTCCTTTCCAGCCCGCTCACCCTGGAACATTATCATTTTAGGTATGATGCCTATGCTAGTATATTTTGGCACCCTGAAGCACCTTTAATTTGCATTTAATTTTATGTGGGCTGAAGCTCTGCCAACCTGAGATTCATATTCAACTGCCTATTCATTGTCTCCAGTGGATTTTTCCTTGGCATCTCAGCCAAACAAGTGCACCCGAATTCGCAATTCCCATCCCCAAACCTGCCCTCCACTTCACACTAGTTCCTTCCCACCCCAGTAATTATCATTTCCCTGAGTATAGGCACCTCCACCCAGGGGATCAGGCTGAAAAGCTAGGAGTTACCCTCCCTTCCTCTTCATTCAACCCCTTCACTTCTAATTCATATTCCAACCCCACTTCCCATTGCTGCCACCTCCTAGGTCTAATCTCTCATCACCCTAGCCCGAATCCTTTTGTAAGCTTCCTAACCAGCCTTTCTTCTCCCATCCTTACCCTAGATAAGAATTTTAAAATCAACACTTTTGCAGATTTTTGAGATAAGAATGCACACTGTAGCCCAGACTGGGCCTAAAATTCATAATGTCACCCAAACCTCAAACCCTGACCTCAAATTCACAGCAATCCTCCTGCTCACAGGAATGCTCCTTGAGTGCTGGGATTTCATATGTGCCACCATGCCTGACTCAAAACACCCTAAGCCTAATCATGACAGATATCTGCTCAAAATTCACCAGTGGCTTTAAAGGAAATCTGAAATTCTTACCTTTGAAATACAGCCTCAGCCTGCTTCCTTCAATTCACGTCACCTCCTTGTCCCCGCCTGAACTTCCTATCCATCTCAGTTCCATTTGGCCCCTTTACTGGACACAAGTGCATTAGGTATACCACTTAGGGCTTTTTGCACTGTGTCTCTTCTTTAGAATATGTTTCTCCCAACCAAGATGTCTCCCTGCCTAACTCCTTTGCTTTTTGGATTTGACTCAAATGTCTAGTCTCTTCCTCAGAGACACTATCCCTGAACAGTCAAAAGAGCACTGTTCTCATTACATCAATGCTACGCAATCATATTGTGTATTCATCAACTTAAGTTGGTATCCCCTTTCCTTCCTTCCCTCAACTGTAAGTTTCATAAGAGCAAGAACTCCATGTCTGTTTCGCCAGTATTGCTTCAAGAGCCTGGAACAGCTGGAAGACAGGAGAAACTCAATAAGGATAGAGCTAAGTTGGCCTGACAACTCCTTTCCAGAAGTATTACTTCTGTATTTAGCATGCTGACAACACCATCTCAAGGCCAACAGTGCGATGGTAATGCAGGCTAGCGTGCTCTTTTAGACTAGAGCTAGTAACACTAAAGAACATTGAGGGTAATTCAGGTATACCAACCAATCACTTACTCAGTTAGAAACATAGGGGGCTGTAGTGATGAGTCATAATGAGTTCACCCTCAAAGATCTGAGTCTAAAAAGAAACAGAAATTAGGACAAATGACTGGACTCTGATGGCAGAAAACACCATAAGAGGACCAGAACACTGTGCCACAGATTAGCAATGAGACTATTAACATTTGCTCATATGAAATAAATGTTAGACTTGAGACTATGCTTTGTAGATTTTAAATGTGCCACTATTGCTCCCTTCAAGAGCAACAGTATGTGCATAAGAACAATTTTAGTTGTCATAACAATTGCCCTAGGGACTTTGGGAGCCCATCATCCCACATAGAGGGATACTCCCTGAGCCTAGACACACGGGGATGGGCCTAGGCCCTATCCCAAAGGATATGACAGACTCTGAAGACCCCCCCCATGGAAGGCCTCACCCTCCCTGGGGAGCAGAAAGGGTATGGGATGGGTAGGGTTTTAGTTGGGGGGACAGAGGGAGGAGGGGAGGGAAAGGGAACTGGGATTGACATGTAAAATAAGCTTGTTTCTAATTCAAATAAAAATGGAGGAAAAGAAAGAAAGAAAATAACTCCATCAAGAAAGAAAACAACAACAACAATAACAACAACAAAAACAATTGCCCTAGGGAAGAGCGTCATCACTATTTGGTAAGCAGAGGACCACTGATGTTAAATGCCCTGCAGTTCCTGGACAGGCTTGGATAATACTGTTCAATGCCAACACAGGAGTGGCTTATACCTATCTAGAACAGAGAGTGTTTTCAGGGCTAGGAAGATGGTTCAGTGAGAAAGGCACACAAGTAGTGAGGATGTGAGTTCAGATCCCCATAATCCATGTATACCTGGACAAGTACTAGGTGTCTATAACCCCAATGTTCCTATGGTGAGATGAGAGATATAGGCAAGAGACTACTCACAAGCCAAGGCCAGATACCTGCGGTTGTCTTCTGACTGTCACACATGTGCTGCAGCATGCATGGACTCTCCTCTCACACACATGAACAGAGAGACATCATACACATATACACACAAAAGATTTAAATCTTTCAGCGATTTCTAGATTGATAATTTTAGCATGCTGTTCTCTAAAATATTTTTTGATTTTTTGAGGTTACAATATAATTACATCATCCCCTCTTCCCTTTCCTCCCACCGAACTACCATGCTATTTTTAATTGTTTTTCTTTGGTTTTTACCCTGAACTGTTTTTTGGGTTGTTTTTTTTTTTTTAAGTTTGACCCAGATCCTATATTCATTCAGTATGCAACAGAAAGAAAACGGGAGTCTAAGAAAAGAACAGAGAATAAAGATTCAACAGAATGTGTCATAATATAACAAGGCCTGTGGAAAGAAGCTGCCCATGGATGATGCTCAGTTCCTGACAGGCTGCTCTTCCACAATGATATCTACAGCATTCCTGCATGCTACAATTATGTTCATTTCATATAGACAGTGCTGTGGGAGGTCGGCTGACAATTTCCTGATTACATGGTAAGGCAAGAAGATAATCTTGAATTGGAATCTTCCCAGGTAGGGCTTGTTTCCCTTGGGCAAGAGGCTAGGGACTACACAGAGCCACCAGGAATGAGGTACAGAGATTGGACAGGAGAAACAGCACTCAGCTCCCCCAGCTACATGAGTCCATTCTGGAAAGCTCAGTCTAGAATTTCAAAACAAGCTAAAGATCTTGGTTTTTACCAAGACCTTTTCAATGCCGACCTTCCCCCAACTCAATTGCTTTTTCAAGTTGCATAGGCTGCTGGGCACGGTGGCTCACACCTTTAATCCCAACACTTAGAAGGCAGAGGCCAGCCTGGTCTACATGTTAATGCTCTGTATCAAAAATAAAACAAAAAGGGCTGGAGAGATGGCTCAGGGGTTAAGAGCACTGACTGTTCTTCCAGAGGTCCTGAGTTCAATTCCCAGAAACCACATGGTGGCTCACAACCATCTGTAATGGGATCTAGTGCCCTCTTCTGGCCTGCACTGTATACATGATAAATAAATAAATCTTTAAAAACATAAAAAAAAACAAAACAAAAAACAAGTAGTATGGGCTAAAGCCTACTTATTAAGGCCTGGATTTAATGCAAGGCTCCTAGCTTCCTCTTCCTGTATGCTAGACCCAAGAATCTGCTCAGTTGTATATATTTGGTACTCCCTAAGTTTTTGGAATATCAAAAACAATAATTAAGTATACTCAAACCTGAACAAGACCCTCAAAAAATGGAGGAGAGAGAGACAGACAGACAGACTCAGGGACCAAGGTAGGTCCCACCAGATAACTGGCTTTACTTTTGTCATATTCTTCCTTGCTCAAAGAGTCTCAGCATGCCAGGTCGAGAGAGACCGCAAAGTAAGTGGGTAAAGCATTTGCCATGCCAGAGTGAGGACCTGAGTTCAGATCTACAGAGCCCATATAAAGTCAGCCATGGCATCACATGTCAGTAATTCCCATGTCCCTGAAGGGAGCTAATCCCTGGCAGTTCCCAGGTTAGCTAGCCTGGCATGCCCAGGATTGAACAACAAAAAGGCTATCTCAGACAAGGCGGAGGTGAGGACAGATAACTGAGGTTGTCTCCTGGGCTCCACACATTTGCTGTGACATGCACATGTGTTCATGCACGAGATAAATAATTTCTCAGCATCCTCAATTACTATATCAAATCACAAATTCCCCTCAAGACACTAAAAACAATACCCTCCCCACCTCGGCAGCCCTAACCTGCATCATACTCGGATGCTCATTTCCCTGCTTTAGTTGAACCAGTCTTCCTTGAGGTCGCCTTCTTCATGAAACCTTTACTATGGCAGAAAAAATAACAACAGCCATAACTACCTTCAAGCACAAGGAGCTCTGGATTTAAATTCCAACTCTGTCACTGAGTAGCTAGGGAAATTTCTTGGGTTTGTTACCTATGTGGAGTATCCCTTATCCAAACTGTTTGAGATTGTGTCTATATATAAAGGAGACATCTTGAAGGTAAGACCCAAGTAGAAACACGGCTCATTCATGCTTCACATGCATGTTTTTTTGTGAGCCTCGAGGTATTTTTAATGCAGCTTCATTTCACAGCAGCTTATCACATGAGGGCATATGTGGACTTTTCCACTTGTGGCATCATGATAGTATTCAAAAGGTTACAAATTTTGGAGTATTTTAGATTTCAGATTTTTGGATTCAAGATACTCAACACCTTATAGTGAACAGTGCCTTACAGGGATTTTCCTTCTTTTTACCTTTTATGTGCATATATGGCAGGGTCTCATGTAGCTTAGGCTAGCTTCCAACGCTCTATCCTGCCAAGGATGACCTAATTTCTTCTGTTTCTACCTTCTGAGTGCTGGAATAATAGGCATGAGCCACCATGCCCACTCTTTCCTCACATATACATATATATGATTTTTGAAGAATCCCATGAAATGATGCAAATCAAGTACTTAACCCCAAGTAAGCACTCAATTAATATGAGCCCTTGTTGTTGTTGTAGTTGTTATGGCTACTCAATTTTCACTGGCCTTCCTTCTTTATGTGCCCCAGTCCTTACACTGCCTCTTCTGAGAAATACCCCCTAGATTCCATGCAGTTCATGTTTGTGCCAACTGTGGCCCAGGTATTAGCCTGTCTCCATCTGCAACTGAGCTTAAAAGTTTCTTTAAAGGCCACGAGAATGTTGGAAGCAACAACAACAACAACTCTGCAGACCTGAATGGACATTGTATCAGAATTCTTCAACTCCTACCACCTCTAAAAGAAGTCAACAAAAACTCTTCGGCTTGGCTATTGAGATTTAATGTCTCCAGAGGGAGGAAGAATCCGTTTTAAGGGTCTACCATGTTCCAGTGGATGGCCCCCCACCCATGAATATTTAGAAAGCACAAACCAGACTACATGGGTTAGTTTTTTAAAGAAGACATGATGTTTGGGGAATCTGAGAAGAATTAGGGGGAAGAATGGGGGTAAACAGAATTAAAGTATTTTGTATGCATGCATGAAATCCTCAAAGGATTAATAAAAATGTTATTTATTCTAAGGGATTCTATAATTATAATTAAAGTAAGATTCTTTTTCTATCCTGAAAAAAGTTCCTTTCTCTGGCAAAAGCAAGGGTGCATGCTGGGAAAACAAATGCATAGCTAGTCTCAGCAGAAAGCTGCTTCAATTTCTCTCTCTCTCTCTCTCTCTCTCTCTCTCTCTCTCTCACACACACACACACACACACACACACACTCACCATCACCACCATTTTGTATTGCCTGATCTTCAAATCCACATTCCCTAAGCCCCAAGCCTCGCCATTTTTCTGATGCTGGAGATGACACATGAAACCAGAAAAAGGCTACACTTTAGTGAATGTATGAGAGCAAAAAGAGACAAATGGGCCACACTTCAGGTGTGATATTTGGTTAAAACCTTGGGTTTGCCTACTGCAGAAGATGGTCTCTGCATGCCCTACCCTCTACCTTATGTTTTCACACAAACCAGCCCCATCCATCCTCTCATGTGTGTAGCAGCTGGCATTCCCTGGGCACTGGTGCCTGGGGGGTTATTCCACTGTTCTGTGTGCATTACAAGAAAAAAAGTAAAAAAATACTTTAATGTAAGTTGCCCCATCCTTCTAGTTACTCCATCATTTTGAGAGGACACACTCCACACACAAGAATTTTAAAAAAAACAAACAAACAAAAAAACAGAGCACAGAAAAATGTGGTTACTAAGATCCTTTTTTTAAAAAATGCTTAAAAATTTTAAAAGAAACCGAATTTGAGAGATCCCAACCACATTTTCACAAATCAAAAGTCATTCCTAACAATTATATTGCACAATCTTACATTGTTTCAGCAATATGAAATTTCAAACTCAGATCTGAGGCAGGAAGAACACCAGGCAAAATGGGCACAATTTTTGAGACCCTGTGGCAAATAACAAGGCCTGGGTGGCTCCCAGGCTAGATGCCAGGGTTCTAATCAACGCAAGTCACCCCTTAGAGTTATTGGCATTCAGAAATGCTCAGGTAGTAATTGGCTTCCAGGAAAATCAAAGGAAGCAGGAGATAAAAATGTAAATGTAAAGAAGGCACCAGTCCCAATGACCAACACAACATGCTCAGTGATAACAGTATCTACAGCCCTGAGTCTGACCCTTCTGCCCATCTGCCCAAGCTCGCTCAAGACTGCACTCCTTAGGCTTAAGAGGGTGACCCTGCTTTCTTGGTCAAATTAGAAGCAGATTAATCCCACCCACACTAGGAACCTCAAGGAAAGATTCAAGCCCCTAAAGCTAAGGGCCTGGTG